ACATGAGATGAAAGTACAAATCTTATCTTGGTAACTGAATTATGTTTACAATATTGCTATTTATTTTGCATTTAAGTTCAAATAAACACAGAGAAATAAGTCATGACTTGTACAGTATAATATCTACGTACTGCAGTACTTTCATCAGCAATATACCATTTACAACTTCAAACAGTAGCATCTGTTATTTAATTTCTAGTTCAATCACTGCCTAGTAACATACTGACATCTCTTTACACAGGATGTATTTCAACACTAGCTATTCAACGAAGGGCCCAATTCCAAAGACTGTAAAAATTGGTACTGCTATTTAATACCAACGTTGCAAAAGAAATTGACAAGCTTTGCCTCACAATTATGTTGCCAAAGTATGTAAAACTGTCCAAGCGGAAGACAAAAATATCCAAATGCTGACCTTCTATGCAGTTCAAACCAAATTTTGAATGCACCTAACCCTGGATTCCAGAGATATAAGACCGTAAGACATAGGAGCAGAAATTAGGCCATTCAGCCCATCGAGTGAATCATTTGATCAGCTACAGAGTGACTGGTCCAGCTAAGTCATAACTAAGTGTGGGTGAGGCAAAGTCTCAAGATCCAAGATATGTTTACAATAACCCAAATACAATTGGAAGGAACACTGATCTGGAAAACTGCCCTTAAATAGTCACATTCAAGCACACTAGAGAATAACTGCTTTGTTCAACTTATCTTGTAGAACAAAGGTGAAATGAACAATCTTTCACAATGGTAAACCATGTATGTTGTATGTACACAGAAGTATGCACTGCAGTAACTCATTAAGGTTACTTTGCCAGCCCTGGACTGCCTTGTAAACTCTACCATCAATAAAGAGAGGACCAGCAATATTATGGACAAGCCACCCAGACTTGGACAGATATTGAAATTCATTCAATGTCACGGGGTTGGATTTCCCTACGTAACACAAGTATGGGAAGATCATCAGTTGACATCCTTAGGCATTGGTTAAAATAGAGACAAAGATATTGGCAACCTTGGAGTAATAAAGCAGAACACCAGGTTAATGTTCCTGAGATATGGCTTGAAATGTACCACATCAGACAGTGAAATATGAATTCAACTTTAAAAAAAGTCTGGAATAACAGCTAGCCCAAAGATAACCATGTAAATATTGTCAATTGTTGTTACTAATGCCCTTTAAAGAAGGAAATTTGCAGTCCTTGCCTAGTCTAGCCTGCATCTGACTCCAAGCCCAAAGCAATGTGGTTGACTCTTAACTGCCCTCTGAGCCATTAGGGATGGGCAATAAGTGCTGGCCAGAGGCAATCATCCTGTGAACAAGACAAAAAAAAGTAGGTCTGTCCCAGGCATTCCATAGACCTTATGGTTGGCAGAGTTCTGGGGGCAGATGATTATCATGTTTTCTGGCAGTCTGCTGGGGGATCAAAGCTGATACTTAAATTTAAAAATCTTTAGCTGTTATGAAAGGCTCAAAGAACTAGTTTTGATGAGAATAGAAAGGCATAGATTTCAGGGAGTTTGTTCATGTATTTTAAAAAGTTTTTAACTCATGTCTTCAATGGCCAGCTCTGCGTTTACTGCGTCCATATTTGTCTTTGAGATGATGACAGTGAGTTGATTACTTGAACCATTGCAAGCATTGCCCTTTGGAGGGCTAGTAAGAGCCAATTGCATTGCTCCAAGTCTGGAAGCACATATGGGTAGGGCAAGGTCAAGAGAATGAGTTTTATTCGCTAACTTAGATAGGTTTTACCAACAAGTTAGCAGCTTTTAGGATCACCATTATTTTCTTACCCCAGATTTAACTGACAACTGAAATTCTTCAGTTGCTTTAAAATTTGAACTCATATCACTGGATCATTAGTCTCAGGATCTGGATTACAAGTGGTCACATAACCTGTCGCCAGTAAACAGTGTGGGTATTTGAATTACACACAGAATGGAGAACAGATGAAACAATTGAACTATGATAGGTGATTGTTTCCTAGAGGGTTACCAACATTTGCGCTGAACAGCCAGCTCAAGGAATGGGTGCATTTCACTACAAGTATTCAAAAAGTTAAGTTCCTGGCGGAGGTCCAACATAATTGTTTCAAGAAAAAAATAAGTTTGAGATGACAGTGATGCACCTCAGGCTACATGGAACTGTCTCCTGGAACTGATGTTTGGACAACTTTAGGGATCAGAGAGGAATTGTCAGAATTCTTTCCTATCTCAAAAAGGACCCAGAGTTTTTCTTCCAACCTGATTTTTCTTTTGTTCCTCCAAGCAAATGGTGTATGGGGAGCACATGGGGTGTTGTCCATGTCATCTAATAAACAGAAAGGCACATAGTGAATCAGCTAGTTTTTTTTTAACTGCATATATTATCATTTCAATTCTGTGCAATGAATACTATAAAGATGCAAAATCTCCTTGCTTCTCTACTTTTCTCAGATATTACTCAAATATAGAAAGTTACAAATTCCAAAATATGGACATTCACATTTTTCCAGTTCTTGATAGCAAAAAGTCATCAATATATTTCAAAAGATCTTCAATGTGTAAGACAATGATGGCAGATAGTCTCCAAGAACTGATCAAGATGCGAGGCTCCTGACAAAATACCATGCCTAGAAATGGAAGCCAGAATCCTCATTTTACAGCTGACTATTCATATGTGAATGAAGTACAGTTGCTGCAACTGCTTCAGCTGTGAATAGACCTTTAGTCTCTTGAATCTCTTGATGCATCTATCAATCCTTCCCACAATCTGGCACAATTGGGCACTCCTTGGAGATCTCACCTCAGGTGAATGCAGGATCGGCTACCAGAAAGGAATCCCATATTTGTCCAGCTCCTTCAAGCTATGCTCTTCCATCGGTCACTCAATAAATTTCACTATTCCAGCATGACATGTACCTTTACTTTCAGGTAAAATATTATTCCAGACTTCAATCTAAACAGATGCCACCGGAACACGAATGCAAAATACTGCAGTAGTTGGAAATCAGAAATAAAAAATAGGAAATTGTGGAAATACATAGCAGGTCAGGCATTTACAGAGGGAAAAAAAGGAGTTAACATTTCAGGTTATTACCTTTTATCAGAACTTGACAAAGTCATAGATGGAACAGGTTTCAGGAACTTCAAAGACAGAAAAATACATTTGTGGTCTGCTGGGGAGGTACAACAATAAAGGGATAAAGGGAAAGGGTGGAAAACAAGCAAGATTAAGTGACAAACAAGTTAATTTTGCAAGGCAAAAGGACATTACAGACTGGAAGAAACGAACAAAGAAAAAATTAGTTCAGTCAGTTAAAGTATATGCATAATAAAGCCAATGGTATGCATTCAATCCCTCAGTGGTTGGAAGTAATTCATGGCTTCTATCTCTTCCATATGCTCCATTGTGATATCATTGCATCGGATAGCCTTGACTATCAACACTGTGACAACCAAGAGTTCTACATGAAAAGAGAAAGCAAAAGAAACAAAAAGGTGAGGCTAGAGGCGTACACGAGGGTGACATTTATTTCCAACAGCTACTGATTGAAAATATGGAACAGTAGTCATGATCTGAAAATGAACTCAGTGTTGAGTGGAAGGCTATAAAGTGCACAATCAAAAAATGAAGTACTGCTTTTCAAACTTACAATGAGCTTTACTCACAGTATAAGAGGCAGAGAACAGAGCAGCCAGAAAGGGAATCGGGCACACCAGAAAGAAAAGACTGAAATTTACATGGACCCTTTCAATAACCACCAGATGGCTCAAAGTGCTGTACAGACAATCATGTCATGTTGAATTTGGAATGCTGAAAGAAGAAATAAGGGCTTGTATTTTCTTGTGGCACCATGCTGGAAGTAGCAAAAAAGATCTGTTGGAAGTGGAAGATGGGGAACAAGCAGTAGCCTATGTGGTTGTCAGAGGGAGGGAATGGGTGGGAGTGGAAAATGAAATAGGCAGTTGAGGAGAATGATGGTGGGCATCTTTAGCCAAGGAAAATGGAAGGCATCTGGAAGCACTGGCAGGGAGCAACATCACAATGGATGAAATAGAAACAGAAACTGGAAGAATGCAAAGCAACTTTACAAAAATGGGAAACAAAAACAGAAATTGCGGAGAAACTCGGCAGGTCTGGCAGCATCTGTGGAGAGGGAAACAGCATCAATGTTTCAAGTCCAGTGATCCTTCATGTTCTGAAGGGTAACTGGAGTTGAAATGTTAACTGTATCTCTCTCCACCGATGCTGCCAGAGTTGCCGAGTTTCTCTGGCAATTTTGGTTGTTGTTTCAGATTTCCAGCATCCGCAGTTCTTTGTTTTATTTTGTTACAGGGAGCAAGTGTGGTCAAGCTGTGGTAGTCAGTGGGCTGTCAGGATATTGATTAAAAATAACAAACCATCTAGTGATTACTTACAAAACTGACCAATGCATTGGACTGCTTTTCTTTCACTCTTTATGGATCAGCAAGCTTGGGTTTTTAGGAGAACCATGGTTGCACACAAAAGTCCCAAATCATCGACAAAGTTCAGACACACACATTTTTTCATTTCGTTGTATAAAAATGAGTTGGTGTCAAGAATGAGGTGAAGAGACAATAAGTATCATCACAACTGATGTTTAGGTTCAGAAAAAAAAAATAAATGTAAATTCTGCACAGATTATAGGATAAAGTAACTTACATCCAATAAAATTAAACTGCTAAAAATGTTCAGTTACATATTGACTTTTAAAACAAATATGCTATTTATGACACAGAATATTTGACATCCATTAAAAACCCAACCAATCCTGATACATTTTCAGATTGGGTTTTTATGTCATGGAGAGGAAATAGGTGCACAATAAAAAGACAAGTCTCAAGGATACAAGGGAGGCAGGTGCACGATTTTGCTAATTATATAAATATATCTGTAAAATGATGAAAGCTGGATAAAACTGCATTATATAGCATCATATCTCTCAAAATATGTCTCAAAATCTACTGAGGACAAAATAAACTGGGTGAGCACATTTTAAGTCATTATGTTTTATTTGATGTACTGTAGAGCTGTTTCAAACTCCAGCCAAAACAAAAAAAATTACGGAAATTGGGGGAAATTGTATTTAATGACAAAAATGCAGCAATTTAGTAAAGTCTAAATATTTCTCCACAGGTCAGCACTCTTCACAAAATTCACAAATTTTATTTGATTGCTGATAAGAGTTCTACATGAGGTTCCACTATGTTATCAATCAGAGACGAAAACAAGAAACAGGAGTTCATGAGGCACATTAAAAATAACAATACTGATGCGGCTATTTGTTCATCAAGGCAGAATTTGGAGACTTTAGATCAGTGATTTGCACTGTAATGTATATGGAAGCACTAATTTTAAGAACATGCCTTCAGACTCTATAGGACAGAAGCAATAATTTTATCTAACGAAGACAAGCAATTTATAAAGTCCTCCTTTGGTGTATTACCAACGTAGTGTGAATCTGTTCTGTTTAAAAGGCAAGTAGCACAGACGCAGATGTTTTGTATAATGTGCTGGAATAGATTGCCAGCTCTCTTTGTCCTGCTCAGTGCAGGTGCTACATATTACTTCATCACCATTCTACACTCAGGTGGCACTTGAGACTGCTAGCTTCTTCAGATGATCCATGAATACTTGCAAACTGACATCATCTGTCAGGATTGGTGCTCCAGCCTCCTAAGGAAACCATGAAACATGAAGGTTAATTGAACATGCAACCTTGCCACTTGTTATAATAAATCAGCTAGACTTAAAAGTAGAAGCCACTCTACATAAGATATTGTTTTCCAGATTTAAAAAAGCATAAGGAGTCTGATATATTATACTTTGAACTTTTCTATGCACCATACAATTATGAACTAAGATTATCAAACAAACAAAAAGCTATTATTCTAAGACAGTCATTGTTTAGTAGTTCAGTACTCCTTATAAGTAGGAGTCAACAATAATTTAGTTTATGACTAACCTGGGTTTGGGGATCACATTCGCTGCTACAAACATATTGTGCTTATGAACAAATATTTCAGATAACTACTGATGGATAGATATTGACACCAAATAAAACAATGGAACTAAATATGAATCCTAGTTACATTCCTAACCTACCATTTAAATAAATAATGTTTAAATATCAGAGATAATAATGATAATAATAATGGGGAACATCCTACATGGTATTTTTCAGCCAATAAAAATAATATCATGCAATCTCAGCTTGCCTGTTAGACTACAGCATGCATTAAAAAAAGTTGACTTACCTGTCCCCATGCATACATGTTGTTATGGGTCTGTGAAGGATTTACTTTGGACAACAAGAAACGAGCCTGTTTACAAAAATTATAAGAATACAAACATATTACTGAAATAAAGACTAACACTAATACACAATCCCAGGGCCTCCCAAAATGCTTTATAATCAACAAATTTTGAAGTGCTTTCACTGCTGCAATGTAGGACACGAGATTCATTTCTGACAAAGGAGGCTGCCATGCAGTCCACTGAGTCTGTGCTGGTTCCCAAAACAGTGGCTCAGTCAGCCCATAACCCGGTAGGTTTGTTTCGTTCAAATGTCCATCCAATTCCCTCCTGAACTCATTGGTGGTTTCTGCTACCACCGCCTTCATGGAGCAACAAGCTTGAAATCATCACCATCAATGTGTTAAATCACTCTGTCTAGCGCACATTAGCACTTTTATATATAAAGCAAAAAAAAGAAAAATCAAAAGCTCTCTCTCACATTTCCCCTGTACCTCCCACTAAAAACATGAAATTCCTGCCTCCTAATAGCTGTACCATCAACTAATAGGAAGAGATTTCAGTGTGATTTGGAGAAGTTGAATGAGCAAGCAAATCTACAGCAAATGCAGTGTAACATGGATAAGCATCAGGCTATCCACTTTGGTAGCAAAAACAGGAAGGCAGATTATCAGAATGGCTATAAATTGAGAGGGAATATGCAATGAGACCTGGGTATCCTCAAACACCAGTCACTGAAGATAAGCATTCAAATGCAGCAGGCAGTAAAGGTGGCAAATGGCATTCTGGCCTTTACAGTTAGAGGATTTGAGTACAGAAGCAGGATGCTTTGCTGTAATTATACAGGGCCTTGGTGAGACCACTTGGAATGCTGTATACAAGTTTAGTTCTCCTTATCCAAAGAAGAATGGTCTTCCTATAGAAGGAATGCAGTGAAGGTCTACCAGACTAATTGCTGGAATGTATGAGGAAAGGTCAAATCAGTTAGGATCATATTTGCCGGAATTCAGAAGAATGAGGAGGGATCTCAAAGAAACCCATAAAAATCTAACAGGACTAGACATTGTGGATGCAAAAGGATGTTCCCAATGATGCAGGAGTTCAGAACTAGGAGCCGTGTCAAGGGATATGGGGTAAACCATTTAGGACTGAGGAGAGGAGAAATTTCTTCACCGGTTTGGTGAGCGTATGGAATTCACCGTCATAGAAAGCAGTTGAGGCCAAAGCATTGTGAGATTTCAAGAAAAAGTTGGATATAGCACTTCGGACTAATGGGATCAAAGGATATTCGGGGTGTAAGCAAGAACAAGCTATTGAGTTGCATGATCAGCCACCATCTTAATGCATGGTAGAGCAGACTGGAGAGGCTGAACGGTCGACTCCTGCTCCTATTTTCTGTGTTGTGATGTTTGCCCTCAACTACCTCATCAAACCTGTCACAATCCTAAACACGTCTAAAGAATCTCCCCTCAACTCCTCCAGGAGAAAACCTGCAACATTTCCAATCTAAATTTGTAAGTAAAATCCCAAGCCCTGAAATCATACTGCAAAGTCTCTTCTACCCACTTTCAAGTTCCCTCACACCTTGCCTAAAGTGTAGTAACATATTGAAAAGTTAAGACCATTATAGAAGCAAAATACTCATTTACCTTTAATTTTTGTTCCTATGTTCTGTTTGGCCTTTGAGAAAATAAAGTTTTTGAATTACAAAGAAATAAACCTACATCTCTGTCTCTGATGAAATGTAAACTCTCTCAAAATACTGAGAGAATCCTCTCTCTCATGGTGTCTGATGTTACTGTTGTATAAAATAACGGTTCTGAAAGAGTCAATATTGAGGTTGTACTAGCTCCACCCAATCTGATGATGTCATGCAGTCTTTGGGTGGAGGGAGGAAGTTTTACAACAGCCTTCAGAGACCAGATATATTCTGTACAGTTCCTGAATGGCCCCAGAAATTATGTCTGACTGGCTATGCAAACTGCACTTATTGCTATCACACAATAAACCAGAAGCACAGCTGCAAAGGATGACGAAAGAACCTGCAAGATAATTTATACTGGGGCTGCAGGATTGGGAAGGCCTCAGAATTTACTGAAGCTGGGAAGGAGCAAATTTAGAGAAGTCTAGTGGAAGAAGTAGAACAGGCAGAAAAAATTAAAGAATGAACAGACCAGGACTCTACATAAAATGTGATTTCAGCGAGAAAATTTACAATAGCTGCAGGCAGAGAACTTTATTTAAAAAATTTGGAAAGCGAATTGTTTTTGGGCCATGGAAAGCAGGAAAACATCGTTTTGCCCAGATCAAGGTGTGAAAATGCCATCCTGACCGCCTAAAAAGGTGGAAAGGAATTTTGATCATTAATAAGATGGGAAAACCTAGTAAACAGTACATAGATAAGGTTTTAAAAAGAAACAGAATTTTAAATATTTGAAAGCAGAAAATCACTACCCAACACACAGGAATACAACTTATAAGCTTCGTTGAAGAATTTAATAGAGCATTAGTACAATTGAGTCTAAAAAGGACTAATAAAGAAAACACTGTATAAAGTCCAGCAAGCTCTACAGTCATTGAATTTAAAACAGCATCGTTGAATGCAAGAGTACAAACTTAAAAGAACAGCGGATGATAAGCAACATTGAAAAGATACACACTCAAAATGGCTTTATAGTAATATAGCAAAGTAATAAATATTAATATGTCATTTTAAGAAGGAATGGAAGTAGATATAATATTTCCATAATGATGCAAGATTGGAGAAGGTCCACACAGAACCCAAGATTAGGCATTGTAGAGGTGATAGTTCTTAAGACACAATATTACCCAAAAATTAAAGAAATTCAAAGTTGAGCAAATTAGAGAGTACAGTTAGAGTCATACAGCCATACAGCTGTATAACCAGTCTACACTGGCCATATTCCCAAACTAAACTAGTTCCACCTGCCTGTGTTTGGCCCATATCCATCCAAACTCTTCAAAATCATGACCTTATCCAATGTCTTGTAAATGTTCTAACTGTACCAGCATCCACCACTTTCTCTGGCAGACACTTTTAATTGTGTCCTAAAAGCTTCTGATAATTACTTCAAAGTAAAAGCAAATAAAATTCTTGAATGATCACAAGTTAATAGAAGAGTTCAGCTCCCAAAGGAATCTGTACACAAGTTAATTAATGACCTCTATAGATTAGCGGAAAACTGTAAATATAGATCTTTGAAATCAGAATTTAAAACAGACAAAAATTATTGGAAATCTTGACAAAATATGATCTTATTTGTTACAGTCCAAAGAGGATTTAATTTGGAAGACAATTATTCAAACCAGAAGGACACTCAGACAGATCCTGAGAGGAGAAGGCCAACCCTACCTCAGAAAGGCAAGAAGTATATTCACTTTACATGATGTGGACACCCTAAAGAGGCATGTGACAAGCCAAGAGAGAAAGTGAAACAACAGATTTGCAGTTTCAGTGCCGTGGGTCAATGAAACAATACAGGAACAGAAAACATCCAACCAAGACAAAGGCATGGTACATTTATTAAGCTGTCGGTTCCTTCTGGCAAATGTGCAGAAGTGAGAGACAATTTTAGGAAAGCGGGAATATTAGTGGTCATGTACACAAGGGGTCTATGTAGTAGAGTAACTATGTCATTAGAAAAAATACCTGCATTAGATGAGATACCCTCATTGAAGAAGATACCCAAGGTGTTCCTGGGAGGTCTTGCTGATCCAGCCAAACTAGAAGACACAGAACCTGTCTGTGCCAATGGACATTCCATTAATTTTAAGTGAGCGCTCCTATTCTATAAGACCAGTTTCCAATGCTAAAGAAGATGTTATTGCCTGAGACTACATGACACAGATGGAATAATTGTCAAGAGCACAGGTTTGTTACAAGTTACACTGTAATTAACATAAAACATAAGAACCAGGAACAGAGGTAGGCAATTCAATCCCTTGAGTCTGCCCCACCGTTTGATATGATCACACCTGCTCTCATCTCAGCCTCAACTCCACTTTCCTGCCTGATCCCCACAACCCTTCAATCCATTACTAATTAAAATCTGTCTGTTCCCTCCTTAAATTTATTCAATGTTCTAGCATTCAGTGCGGTCTGAGATAATGATTTCCAGATTCACAATCCTTTTCGAGAAGTATTTTTTCCTCGTCTGTTTTAAATCTGCAGGCCCTTATCTTAAAACTATGAGATCTCATTCTAGATTGTCCCACATGAGGAAACATCCTTTCTATGTTTACTTTGTCAATCCCCTTTAGCATCTTATAAACCTCTATCAGATCTCCTCTCATTCTTCTAAACTTCAAACGGTATGGGCTAAGCTGCTCGATCTCTCTCCATAAGACAAAGCTCCTCTGGAATCGATCTAGTGAACTTCCTCTGAAATGTCTCCAATACATCTGTCCATCAAGTAATGCGAACAAAATGTAACTAAGTGTTTCTGCAACTATACAAGGCATTAATGAGAGTGCAGCTCACCCAAGAGTTGAAAGTGTACATTGTTCATAATCAAAAATCTTCACTTTTGAACCTTCTCTTATGTCTCAACTTCAACTGTATTAGAAGAATTGAAAGAGATTGATTATCTCTCAGAGAACAACTGTTTCAGAAACAAACCATTCAACGAGTTAAGGGATAGCAGATAGAGACTTCATTGGACTTCGTAGATTTAAGGCAGAACCAAACTGAAGAAAGATTCCAGTTAGATTATTTAACTGGCATAACAAGAGTTGTTTTGTATTGTCAACATAGAGTAATTAAAAATTTTGCAGAACTAGTGGAAGTGTTCCATCCACTGTCAGCCAAAACAGAATAATCAACGGCAGTAACAAATAGTGCCGGGTGAGCAGAAATTTTTCCATGACACAACAGTGTCTGAAATCTACTTTACAAACAATCAGAGGGTGAACTGATGATTTTTTTTTTCTTTATTCATTCACAGGATGAGGGTGTCGCTGGCTAAGCAGCATTTATTGCCCATCCCTAATGGCCCAGAAGACAGTTAAGAGTCAACCACATTGCTGTGGGTCTGGAGTCACATGTAGGCCAGACCAGGTAAGGATGGCAGTTTCCTTCCCTAAAGGACATTAGTGAACCAGATGGATTTTTCTGACAATCAGCAATGGATTCACAGTCATCACTGGATCCTAAAATTCCAGATATTTATTAACCCAGGCCCCCAGAACATTATCTGGGTCTCTGGATTAACAGTCCAGTGATAATACCACTAGGCCATTGCCTCCCCTGGTCCAGCCTGACCAACAAATTGAGGGAGATGAGCTGCATACAACTACGAGAGCCAGACCAATCCTTGCAGATACACGGCATGGTCAAGAAGAAGAAATTGCCTGGTCTAAACATCGAAGATACTGCAATTAAGAGATTAACTCTTCCAGTTGAAAATATTGACCTGGCCCAGAGTCCTGGAAACTATAAGGAAGAAAGTACACATTTCAACAGAGCAGTTGTCTTCCATGATAGGCTTTAATGAGTTCAAAAGATACCCAAGATAATGCTATGGGCAACTACTCTACTTAACCAAGAAGAATTCTTCAGTGAATGAAATTCAGGAAATTAAGATAAGGAAATTGAATGATGTCCTCCACAAGGATATTTGAGAGTTAAAAGGTATTCCAGTGGAGAAATGATTCAGTTCTACATCAACAGTGCTCAAGCAGACCTGCCATTCTGCCAAGTACAAACAGAGTGCATTCTGGGAAAAGGATTAAATATCCAGACTGCTCACATTTGTGAAGTCAGATCTGGGGCAATGGTAAATTTCATATAACTATATACATGATTGTACGATGACTAACTATGAGAATACTAAACCCATTTTTGGGGGTGGGGGGGTGGGGGTGGGGGTGGGAAGGTTGTTTGGAAGGTATTGTATAAAGTAACAGTTCTGAAAGAGTTAAAATGTTGAAATTGCATTATCGCCACCCATTCTAATGACGTCACATAGTATTTGGATGGATGTAGGAAGTTCTACAATAGCTTTATCTCTTTTTTAAATGGATCCTTCATGGGATGTGGGCATCACTGGTTGGACTAGCATTTATTGCCCATCCTTAATTGCCTAGATAGTTGTGAAGAGTCTACCACATTGCTGTGGGTCGAGAGTGACATGTAAGCCAGACCACGTAAGGATGGTAGATTTCCTTCCCTAAAGGACATTAGTTCTAAAGGACATGGGTTCTCCTGTCAATCGGCAATGGTTTCATGGTCATCATTAAACTCGTATTTACAGATTATTATTGAATTCAAATTCCACCATTTGCCACAACAAGATTCAAACCCAGATACCAAGGACAATACCTGGGTGTCTGGATTAATAGTTCAGCAATAATACTATCAAGCCATTGTCTATCCACAATGCTTACACTTGACTGATGTATTCCTTGCAACCCTTGGGAGTCCTTAGTAATTATGCCTGACTACTAATGTAAATTGTCCTATTGTTATCGTGCAATAAACCAGATTGCTAATTAAGATAGGGGTCTCTTCTGTCAGATTCTGCAGTGGTCTAACCCCTACCACTGATGACTAAACAGGCCCAAGACACAGTATAGGCAAAGAAAGATTCATGACAATAAACTACATTCGGCAGAGGTGATATAGCAAACACCACAATTACTATTCAAAACCAGTTCTTTTAACAATCCTGGTTCATGATCCAGTTAATAACACAATATAAATCTCCTTTATTTGTCAGACACTGATCTGGGGTATCCTAAAGTAATGAAGATTCTATCACAATTAAAATTGACCAGTTTTTCAAATCTTATCCAGAATTTTATATATAGCCGAGTAAACAAATATCTGTGATTAAGATTTGGAGACAAAAAAAAGTACCAGTGAAACTAACTAATGAACTTCAAATGTTGTCTGCAAGATGGAAAGAAAAGAGGTGCATTCCAAAGACATGTTCAAGGAGAACAATCAAAGAATAAAGAATCCATGCATCTTCTGCAATGTATACAGAAGCTGGCACTAACACTGCAGGAATAATATCCAGCACAGTTACTGACTTGAAACCGGGTAAGGATTCCTAGAAAAAGAGTAATAATTATTCAGGAACAAAAACAAAGTTCAGCAGGTCTGGCAGCATCTGTGAAGGAGAAAACAGAGTTAACGTTTCGGGTCCGGTGACCCTTCTCCTTTTATTTAATAATTATTCAGCATTCTTCCAACCTGCTAAATGCTTACAAAGCAAATATCAATACGTAGAAATACAAATTGCTAGACAGTGATTTCAAAATTTAAAATAACACAAATGGAGAAGGTTACCTGGCTTCCCCCATGCTCTGTGTCAACATAGCGTGGCATTGGGAATCTGCTATGCAGAATCTCTTGCGCATCATCTACAGGTGCTTGTAGTAAATGGCGGAAATTTTCATACTCAGGCATATCATGATAGCCAGCTTTACGCCACTGAGCAATAGTCTAGGAAAAATGGTTCTCTGTTGAGTTACTGTGTTCATTTATTGCTATAAAAGTTACATTAAACTATTTAACAATTGCATGAAATGAAATTATTAATCTCTAATTCATCTATGAAATGAACATGATGTTAGTAGTTAATGAGTGTAATGAAATGTGATAAAACTTTAACATTTCTCCAATATTATTTAGCATTTCTAGTGCTGATCAGAAATGTGTGTGTTACGTATACTTTGAAGTGTTATGTCCTTACCTCTCCATGGTAGATAAGTATTTGAAAGAAGGTGTCCATAAGAAGAATTCTATCAGGGAGAATACTGCTGCTGTCTAGAAGAACAGGCTACACAAAGGCAGGGAGAAAAGTGATTGCCAAAATTTTGCTCAAATAACTTCAGATTCCAAAATGCATTCAGTTATCTTATCTTCTCTTCCCCCAAAATGAACAAATATGCATTTCATTAACCATTGGATGGAGTTATGCTCAGAACTGCACAAACACATTTGCTCCCAGTACTCAAAAGCCTAAAAATTAAAACTCTTATCCTGATGTTTAGATTCAACCTGTTCCACACACCTCTTAAGGCTCATAATCACTTGTACTCTAGGATCTCCAACTCCCTCACTCATTCTCTAACTCTGACCTCTTTAACACTACACACCATGGGTAAACAATATATTTGTTGCCTGCATCCATTCTCTGCAAACACATATCCAAAAGCTTCTGACATTCCATTTGCCCGTGCTTCTTTAAGAAACTTAAAGCCTATGTGATCCAACTTCTGGGCAACTCTTCTAATCTCGTCTACAAATCTTTTACTACATAACGTACCTTGGGACATTCCATTTGTCAAAGGTACTGGATAATTACAAGGTAATGTTTATTGGTGTAAAATGAATTTAAAACTCCAATAAATCCTACTGTTGTTTCTAATTACGATAATAGAGTCATAGAGTCCCACAGCAGGGAAACGAACCCTTCGGTCCAACCAGTCCTTGCCAAATATAATCCCAAACTAAACTAGACCCACCTGCCTGCTCTTGGCCTATATCCCTGCAAACCTTTCCTATTCATATATCCATCCAATGTCTTTGAAATGTTGTAATTGTACCCACATCAACCACTTCCTCAGGAAGTTCATTCCACACGCGAACCACCCCCTGTGTAAAAAAAAATTGCCTCATGTCTTTCATAAATCTCTCTCCTCTCAACCTAAAAATGTGCCCCCTCGTCTTAAAATTCCCCATCTTAGGGAAAAGACAACAACCATCAACTCTATCTATACCTCTTGTTATTTTATAAATTTCTATCAGGCCACCTCTCACCTTTCACTCCAGTGAAAAAAGTCCCAGCCTATCCAGCCTTTCCTTATAACTCAAACCTTCCATACCCAGCAACATCCTGGTAAATCCCTTCTGAACCCTCTCCCTCTTGATAATATCCTTTCTATAACTGGATGACCAGAACTGGACACAGTATTCCAGAAGAGGCCTCACCAACATCTGTATAACTTCAGCATAATGTCCCAACTCCACATTCAAGTTTGATAAAAATCAGAATGCTTTTCCTTATAAAACACAAATGTGGACATCTCTATTCCACTCTAAATAAGAGAGGTATTAGACAGGAAAATAAGCATGGACTTGAGGTAAATTGTAAGCATTGTATTCTGATTTCAGCACTTCCACACAAACAGAACACAAATACACCATTTCTTACAAGTTCACTATCAGTGCGAAATAGCTTCTACTTTCCATCACTGTTTTCTCGCTTGACGCAATATGACTTCAAAGTAAAGCTAGATTTCCATGTAAGCCACACATATCCTATGACTATAGCCTCAAACCAAATAAAAATTGCTTTTGACAGAGACAGCAGTTGTACTGTAAAGCAACCGCACAGACCACAAACTAAGCTGAAAGCAAATTTCACACAAGATCAACATAGCTTATACAGAGGAAAGATTGCTAATGATCAGTTTGAGCTGGATATTAATCAACACTTCACGAAAGATCAAGCGTTTAGCCTCTCAAGCCTGTTCTTCCTTCAACTGGATCACAGCTGATCTGTATTGGGAACTCCATCTGCCCACCTCGATTACTATCTAATTCGTGATTGAATTTTAGTGCAGATGAACACTGTAAAGCTCAGTTGTAGCTGTTTACTATTTATTCAATCTGACATCACAGATGAATAAAACATCAGAAAACACATTTCTCACCTCTGGAGGGCCATTGAAAGAATAGGCATACAGGATGGGTTGAATCATGATGAGGGACTGCGTAAGATCCTGACGCATGAAATGGTGACGGTAGTAAGAACTCTCATCAGGGCTGTTATTAAAAACTTGTAAGAATGGAGATCTTCTCAGATGAAACATAAACTAAAATGGAAACAAAAAATTTCTTATCTCTATATTGCAAATCTAGGCTTCTGTTAACTCAAACTTTTCTTTTATGATCACAAATTTAAAATATTGTTTAAGTTCTCACTGCATAATCTATAAATATTCAAATGAATTGTAACATAATTTCAAAGTTAATGAACCAAAATCTATGAGAACATACACACATGAAAATAAAGGGCTCACTTCATACCTGTGGGTACAAAGAAAATGTTTCAGAAAATTTGAAAGAGGCTGGATCATCTTTGTGATAATCTCCAAATTTCTGACACTGAGAAAGGAAAAAGATGGAATTTATTGGATATAATTCTTTTTAAGAATTATAATAATAACAAATTAAAGTAGCCAGTAAATTGCTTCATGCTTCTCTCCCTCCTGCACACCACCCCTCACCCACAGACATACATAAAACTACAGAAAACGTATCGTACCAGTCGTATAAGCTGTCTGTCTAGCCATCTGAGAACATCAGGTCCCTCCTCAGTCTCTGCTCTGTAAACTGCCAATCTTGCCATGAGAACAGCTGCAGCTTCCTGGTCAAAGGATGCAGCAATATTCTGGATCTGTGTTTGTGCATCTGCCCAGCTTTATAAAGGGGGGGGAAAATACGCATGATTTTTATAAACCAGTATCATATACCATATACAAAGAACAGTATTTAAACAAATGTATATTAATAATGAAATGTAATGTCTATAATTGGTTTTATGTCTTGGATTTCAGTTTAATATGAAGAATAATTGCTGGATACATAGCAGAGAGTACAATCTGTAAACAAATTAGGAATCTGTTTTAATGAATTTATATCGTAATAAACATGTTTATAATGGACAAGACAACAAAGTCAAATTCCAGAACAAAATTGAACACATCAAAAATCATTGTCATCAGAAATATATTTTGCGAGAGTATTCTCCTCCACTAATGGAACGAGTCATAAACAAAAAAAAAGCAAAGTTTCTAAAATAACTTGGCACATTAATTCCAGATTACTGTTTTGCAGTCATGAGATTTTGTCAAACTACACTCAATGCTCCCAAGTTGCAAGATATAGTTTTACTCATGTAAACCTGACAAATTACATTTCAAATATTGATTTGTCTGGACAATTGTAATGCTGTACCCTAATCAGACATTACATAGGATGCATGGGGTTTACAACACCATCATTTGCAAGAGAAGAGATAAACTTTTTATCAGTAGTCATGTGAAGCAGATTATGAAATCTTGCTCAAGTCTGTCATTTGGCATGTGTGGTTCCAGCTATTAATTCGTTCTATTTAAGATCAGCAATGACAACAATCTCAATACAGTAGAATATTTACCTTTTCATATAGTATTATCTCAAATTGGTCGATGTCAACAAAGACATAGATAATTAACTGTGCAGAGCCAACAGCTGCCTCTCTAAACATGTTTGATAAAATCATCTACTGAGAGTTCCCACCAAAAATCAAAACATATGCAGAGGACATCACCAGTACTCCATTGTATGGTTTGGAAGCTTGGATTCTGTACCGAAAATAAAAGTGACTGCTGGAATACTTCTATAAACCTGGTCTTCATTCCATCATGAACACCAGATGCCAGAACTATACCTCAAACAACAAGGGGCTCAAGAACCTGCCACCCCCGAGTCAAGCTGTTCCAATAAAGCTACAAGACTGGCATCTGACAAACAAGGTGTAAAAATGCCCAGGAATTTTCTGTATACAAAACAAAAGGACAAATCCCACCCGGACAATTAACACCTTTTCAGACTACTCTTGACCATCAGTAAAGCGATGGAAGGTGTCATCAACATCAAGCAACTCCTGCCCAGCAACAACCTGTTCAGTGATGCCCAGTTTGGGTTCCACAGGTGCACTCAGCTACTGACCTCATTACAGCCTTGGTTCAAACATGGACAAAGGAGCTGCATTTCAGAAATGAGGTTACAGTGACAGCCCTAAACATCAAGGTCATATCTGACTGAGTGTGGCATTGAGATGCTGTACAAAACTGGCGTCAATAGAAATAACTGGCACATAGGAAGATGGTTGAGGCTGCTGGAGGTCAGTCACCTCAGTTCCAGGACATCTCTGCAGAAGTTCCTCAGGGAAGTGTCCTAGGCCCAACCAACTGTAGCTACTTTATCAATTACCTTCCCTCCATCATAAGGTTAACAGTGGGGATATCCACTGATGATTGTACAATATTTAATACCATTCACGATTCCTCAGATAATGAAGCAGTCTATGTCCAAATGCAGCAAGACCGGAGCAATTTGTCGAACTTTTCAACCAATTACACATGGTTCTAATGCTCCATTGGGTTATTCGCATTGTTGCTGTTTGTCCTATATATAGACTTGAGTCTCTCCAGTCTTTCAACACAGTAAAGAGGTTAATCCAGTCTACCCAATCAAATTCTAATTCAAAATCCACAGGACATACTTAATTATTGCTTGAACTCTAAACCGTATTCATTACTCACTTATCTTAGAATGCCGATTGCTTCTCCCATCCCTCTTTCTCCCTGGAATCTAAACGTTTCACTTCCAATGTAGTTCTGTGCCTTCCCGCCAACCCTCTGTTATAACTCTTAATAAAAACTTCGATGGATGGACAATCAGCTTAATTGTATGAAAGTCAGAACATCAAAAAGCCTTTCATTCTTTCTTCTGCCTGAAGTCCTCCAGCCATTCTCCTGCTGAGTAAATTCTGTACAATTTAGCAAATATCCATGTTAAGTTAATTCCCATATTCTTAGGGGTTTCAGCTACTGTTGCTGCTTTCCAATTTTTTATCTCAGTTATTGCTGCTCTTACCACCCTGTCATATTTCTTGTTCATGAAATCAATCTCAACGTTACTTTCTTCTTCTAGCTCAATCATTTCAGTTTTTCATTTTTTGCAGACAATTCTTTAATATTCTTCCATATTTTTCTTCATTGCTCAGGTTTTTGTTCAGAAAAAAATTCTTACACTCCAGTGCAATTATTTTCAGTCCTTAATGCTGTGTCACAAATCTCTTTTGCTTTTGCAAATAAAAGGCCTTCCTTTCTTAGTTGATTCAATTCTTTTAAGTATATCACACTGCTCTTTTAACCATCATTCTTGTCGCTTTTCCTCTTAAGCTGTTATTCAAGCATCTGTTTTTCAGTTTGTTGTGTTCATAATTTACATCCTTTCTTCATTGCAGTGGTAACCCATGATCTCTTGATCATTTTCCTCCTAAAAGCCAATGCTTTTCTTCAGCAGGCCTTTTAATATGTCTGCATTGTTCATTCAGGAGGTTGTTGGCTTGCTTGCCAAGCTGGCTGGTTTTTGTACAGACATTTCGTCACCATGCTGGGTAACGTCATCAGTGCGGCTCCGATGAAGCAATGTTTCACAAGGACCAAAGAACCCATATCCATGACATGCAGGACCAATGTAGTTTACAAAATAACATGCAATGACTGCAACAAATATACAATCAGCCAGACTGGAAAGAAACTAGCCATCAGGATACACAAACACCAGATAGCAGCAAAACAACACGACGAACCTTCCCTCATCTCAGTGCACTCGGACAATGAAGGCCAAGAATTTAACTGGGACAACGTGACCATTCTAGCTCAAGCCAACCACAGATACACACGGGTATTCCTTGAGGCCTAGTTTTCAACCCGTAATACAATCAACAAACATGTGGAATTAAACCCCATATACAAATCCATGCAGAACAGAACTGGAAATGACATAACCCAACTGAACAGATCAGATTATATAAATACCAAAATATAAATGCTTCATTACAGGCTGCACCAATGATGTCACCTAGCATGGTGACGAAACGTCTGTACGATAACCAGCCAGTGAGGAAGCCAACAACCTCATTCAAAACCCAAGTTACAAATCTTTGCAAGAACCTTAAATTGTTCATTCATATTGGTAATATTGTAGCCTTTTCTAGTTAGTGCTTTGTTTACATCATTTAAAAATCATGTATTTACTTCTGTCAGCCTCTCTAGGTCCCACTGCTTTCTGTGAAGTCTGTGTCAGCTCCTGACTGAGCTTTTGAATTTGTAACTATATTTCTGTATCTCTTTCTTGCCGTTATATGGTCCAGCTGAAATCATTTGGTCATTTCCAGGTCTTTGTACATGCACATCATCAGTCATCTGTTTTCTTTGTAATACTGCCAATATACTCTCCACACCATGATAACTTCCTTTCACAGTTCAACCATGGTACTTGCCTTGTGCTTGCATGCTACTTCCTTCAAAAATACCATTCTGTTCGAGCATAGAAAACCAAACACGTTAGCTAAAATGTTGAAGGAATATATCAGACAAAGAAACATGACCAAATTCTCCAAAAAATGCAAATAGTTACTGTTTGGCTGCTGTCTCTTGACTCCCAACCCACCTGACCTATCCAATTTCCTGCCCAAGTGGTCACAGCAACAACAGCACATCCTTTTATCTCCAATTTCCTCTTCCCTTTCCAAGTTGTCTTAGGTTGCATCCTCCAACACTGATTCCAAGTCTGTATGTCATTATTTCTAAATGCTAGATATCTCTGTCCGTTTCCAACCATGTGCACTGCAGCTATTCCAACTTTCACCCAAATGTTTCAATCAATATTACTTTAATATGTTAACTGTTTAAAACGTGTGTCAATGTTGATGCCACAAAAACATCTGTTTAACTCCAAAACATCAATCACACACATAAGCAAATGAAATGAGAGCAGATACAGGCCATTCAGCCCCTCAAGCCTGCTCTTCTTTTCAATAAGATCTTGGCTAATCTGTTTGTTTTGAATTCCACATTCCCAGCTACCTCGGATAATTTTTGATCCACTTGCATAACAAAAGTTCATATCTCTGCATTAAAATAGTCAATGACCTGCTTCCACACTCTTCTGTCACGGAGTTCCAAAGTCTCACAAACCTCAGAAACATTTTGTCTTCATTGGTACTGAAAAGGTAAACCATAATTTTAAAATGGTGCCCTCTAGTTCTGGATTCACCATCCTTGTCAAGACCATTCAGGATCTTTATACATTTAAATCACATCACTCTTTAGGATTTCTTTTAAAATGAACCTGTCCAGGGATGTTTGACACACCTCTGAAACAGCTGGGACTTGAACCTGTGCCTGCTAGTTCAGAGTTAGGGACAGTGCCCCTGTTTCACAGGAGTACTCAATCAAGTCACCCCTCACCCGTAATCTCCAGTGGAAACAAGCCCAGCCTATTAGAAATATAGGAACCGGAGTATGCCATTCAGCTTCTCGAGCCTGTTCCTATGCTTCTAACAGGCTGAGCTTGTTTGATCATGGGATGAGATCATGCCAGAGCTGTGGCTTAACGACACAAACCTGCCTTTAGCCCATATATCTTAATATCTTTGCTTAACAAAAAATTGCCTCTCTCAGATTTAAAATTAACAACTGATCCAGAATCCACTGCCATTTGTGGGCAAGAACTCCGAACATCAATCATCCTTTGCGCGTAGAAGTGCTTCCTAACATCTCTCCTGAACTGTATGGCCCTAATTCTCAGACTATGTCCTGTAGTTCTAGAATACCCAACCAGTAGAAATACTTTATTGTTA